TGAAGGAGGATTTATTGCCCATGACCATATTTCAAGAGTGCTTAATAAGTTACTGACACATGGCATACAAAAAAGATCAACAGGCCCGGAGCACATGGCAAACTTAAGTTTTTTCATCACCTGGAAAATCTGCTTAAAAGTGAGTGAATTTAGAGCTACTTTGAATATTTTGTATATAAAAAATATATTGATATTAAATTTTAAATAGTAGTCTTGTAAGTAACTCATTTGACTTACAATCACTGTTTGAAACAATAAAATGAAGTAACGAAAGTTGTTAATCTATTGTTATCAACAATTTACTTATATATATATATATATATATATATATATATATATATATATATATATATATATATATATATATACGCATATTTTTATTGTCGATGTGATTATATGTAACAGTCTCAATGTGATTATATGTAACAGTCTCGATGTGATTATATGTAACAGTCTTTTAAATAAATAGTAATTGTTAAGCGATTTTTTTAATTGATGTAATTATAGCTTCAGTTTAGATTGACTCGAATCATACAGACAGTGACGAGAGAAATGATGAGGACAACGAAGATGATAACGCTTCTTAATAAATAAAGCGAAAGACATCTTTAAATAAATATTAATATCTTGTATTTTGAATAGTATTACTATGTAAATAATATGTAATATATAACAGTTTATGTAATATGAATCGTAATAATAAATAAATTTTAAAATTATTTTTTTATGATTTATAAAAATAAAAAGAATTTAAAAGAACAACCACGCTTTACTACTCATCTTTTGAGTGGTAACGCGTGGTTTTTTTTTTGGGTCGCTTTAGGGCTAGCCCTTAAGGGACCCTTAAATTCCGCGCGGATTTAAGAGACCCTTAAGTATTTTTGAGGCGGGTTATGTGGTGGTTTTTAGTTTTTTAAGTGTGATTATTAATGTAAAAAAGCATTTTTAGCTCAAAAGATATTTTGATACTTTAATTACATTTATCTTCATTATTCGGTTTTCTTTGTGTGTATGGAGGTACACAATTTTTATTTGAGCTCCAGTTAAGTTATGCTTGATATTATTACATATTATTACATAAATTACATATAAAATTAGATTTTAGATGTACAAAAAATGTGTCATAGCAAAGCAGGGTGTTCATTGAAGGAATAGACATAAACGAATAGATATAATATCATCGACACTGTCGGTCAATTATATTTTATGTAATGTAAAATATTTGTTATAGTTATATAAAATAATTTACAACTAAAATACCAAGGATTTATTCCATAGGTTTTACTACAAATCTAGTTATACTTAAAATTATTTTGACTTGATTTTATTGTAGAAAAAAAAAATCGTGTACTGTAATCTAAATTTAGATTGTTTTCAATACGTCATTAATAACATTAAAAAGTTTTTTAATGGTATAAAAGGTTGTCCATAGGGTACGTACGCTTTTTATTTGTCCACCCCCTCCCCCACATTTTGCAATACGCTTTTTTGAGTACCGTATACCTCCCTAAAAGTACATACACTTTTAACCTATTTATCTATCATTTTATTATATTTTTTTTAATTTAGTGTCTCCTTTCTTTTATAATTAACCCACTTCCCTCCCATCTCATATACGCCATTTACAGACCCCCTCTTCCCCTCCGAGCGTACGTATTTTATGGACGATCCCTAAAAGGCGGCTTCTTTGGATTGCAAACTAACTAGATTTACTCAATCAACTGATTCTTTATTTGGTAATATTTTACCCACTATTGTTTTTTAACGAATCTTTAATGTATGGTATAATTAGCTTCTACCCATTTTTTTAATCGAATAACAAAAATATGACTTTTAAAGAAAACTTATATATTTATATATATAATATAAAAATTTATTATAATATATATAATATAAAAATTATATTTATAAATAAAATAAATGCATGAAAAAGTATTATAAATGTTTCAAAAAGTTTAAAAGTTAATCACCTAAATGATAAATTTTTTCTATAAGCGTTATGAATACAAGAAAAAAAAATTACCACTAAACAATTTTACATAACATCCTACAACATGTCAATGCCATTTTACACTTTCAATTTATGTATTTAAGCCACCATTTTTCGGAGGATTTTTGCGCAAGTCAGATGGGAAAATGACATCACTTTACAAACGGAAAAATGACTCAGTTATCTACCGGTCTGTGCTGTATCACTGGTTTAAAAACAAACAATTTAACGACCCAATACAAGAAAGTTACATTCACTAAGTAAAAACGTATATAAAAACAATCCTAAAAAAAATTTTCATTATGTTTAAAAAATGCTTATATCAATTTCGTAATAGTTTATTTGTATTATCTGATGAATTGGACATTGTCGTTGGAATATAAACATACTTTGTCACTAAAGACGCGTTTTTTTTATATCTCAAAATAAACGTTGCCGACAAGTGAGCAACGCCTTCTTCTATTAGTATAAGTCTGTAAATTGTATCAATTGAAGTTGCGAAGCATTTTAGTTATCTAAGTTTAATGACTATTGAAATTCGCTTGTCAAGGAAATTGTTTTAAATCGCTTAGTATAGTAAATTTTAGCCGTTGTGTTTTAGGGTTGAATTAATATTTATCTATCTATTTTCACTCTAAGTACCGTTTTATTAACGTGCTGAAACTATATAGATTTTTCTTTTGAGTAGTAGCTGAAATACATATCTGATTTTATGTAAGTGATGAACATCTATTATACGTACTTAAGCTTACATTTTTCCATTTTCTAAACCTTAGAAAGATAAGTTTTGAAGTATATGATGCAAACGTTTTAATGTTAGTTTGATTTCTTGTACGGATTAATTTTGATTACAAACCCACACATAAAAACAACAAAATTAAAACAAAACAAAAAAAAAAAAAAAAAAAATCAGAAAAGCTGTTAACTATAGCGATAATAGCTATTCAGACATTAGATTGAAATTTTTTGTTTTAAGAAAAAGTTAGTTTTTGAATATTTATAAATTATTATGTTTTAAATGCAATGTTTTTTTGTGCTAAGTTTGCAGGTATTACATTTGAACTTTTGTTATTTATTTTGTTGCGATTTCTGTCAATTTAATTAACTTTTTAAAGTTATCAGCTTTGTTTATCATAATAATATTTTACAATATTGCTTTTTTACAATAATTTAATAGCTTGGAAGATACATTAATTACATTATAAATGTTTAAATTGAAAAAAGTCATCACAACAGAACTTGGCATAAAGTTGATATAATAAATTAATTTTAATAATAATATGTATTAAATATTAAAGCACATTTAAAAAATATGTATTAAAAATTTTTAAATAGATAGATAAATGAATTCAAATTATTACTTTTTAATTATTAATTATCAACTTGTTTCTCTGCGCAGCGGCCTTTTCCATCAAGGTTCATGTTTCGGAGTTATAAAGTAAGAAGAGGGTTGTAACCATGTTTAAAAGTAGCCTCCTTGACTGTAGTGGGCTCTGTGGTTTTAGGGAGGTGATTTAACACTAAAAAAAAACTAAAATCAAATTTTCAGATTCTGAGTGTAAGGAGAAATTGTATTATTAGAAACACCCTACTTGTGTAAGTGTAAAAACAAGGATGTTGAATCAATAGTAATAATGATGATAATGATGATGATGATGATGATGATGATGATGATGATGATGATGATAAAAATTATTTTTGGACATTGCTAATGCAATTATTAATTTTGCTAATTGTCAAAAAAAAAACTCTTAACTTGTTTTGACTATAAAAGATAATTTCATTATATTTTTATCCTGATTTTTATATATCACATATCTATATATCTACAAATATCTCTGTGTACTTAGCATGAAACTTGCATGAAACATCATTGTTGATACTGCTTGGAATATAATTCAGAAAATAGTTTAAAGTTAGCAATTGCCTGCTTTAAACTATTTTTGGTCTGCATCAGTTAAGCAAAAAATTTTTTACATAAAAGGTTCACCATGACAACATAGAAATGAGGTTGGTAAAAAATCAATGATCTCAAAGAGTTTTAAGAGTTTTAACTTTTTTCCTAGGGCTGATGAAAGCATACTAAAATAACCATCTGCAATGGCTTCAGTACATTTAAGTTACTTTAAGTTATTTAAATTTAAGTTAGTTAAAGTAACTTTAAGTTTACGGATGTACAATTTAGATATAAGTTTAAGTTTGATTTATTCATAATCAATAACATTTACAAGTTATTGATGATTAGTGACACTTGGCTGCTCTGTAATTAAAAGACATTTGAGATTTCAAAGTACAGTCAAGGTGTTACATGAAAAGTAGTTTGTGTTTGAAGGTTTTTAGATTTGTTGAGTTCACTGTGTTTTGGTTTAATCATTCCATGGTTTCACCACATAGTGAGAAAGTTGTTTCTCTCTCAGTTTTGAACAAGTTATGTTTTGAAATGTGTCTTTAGTAACAATATAGTGGTTTGTACTACAAATTCTAGGTGTGGGTGTAAATATGAAATATACAATGCATGCCATAACACAGGTCTCAACATAAGCCATGTGTCACATACATTGCTCATGTTTTTAAACTTTACCTCTATGAAAGATATTTTACTTTTTTTTTTGTGATTATTGAGGTACTCCCAGAAGTCTTGATGGTCTATAAGTATCACAGAGCATACCGAAGAGTATCACAGAGCATACTGAAGAGTATCACAGAGCATAACGAAGAGTATCACAGAGCACACCTAAAAGCATTTAACTAGGAAGTACATGCCTCCTTCCTTTTCAATGTTGTGTATTGGGCTAAAGCCAGGTACAACTTCTGATCTTTTGGTTCCCAGCAAGAACTCTAACTGTGGCGCCACAGCTGCAATAAATGATGAAAATCTTTTTATTTTTTATTTTTATATTTTCCTTTTTTCTTTTGTCCGGAAAAATTGCCTTCTTTTAAGTTGTTATTTCAAAAATTAAAGTGTGCAAAATATATTAAGGTAGTGCAAACCTAAATTTGATATTATACATATAAAAGGCTATGTCTATCAAGGTATGCATATAGTTATTTTAGATTATTTTTTATTGATTTTTTGTTTAGATTTTTAAATATAATGATAATATTAAAGTTAATATGGGGACTTTTGCTACTTTGTTATAACTCTATTTGTCAAGATACAAATATAGGAACTGGAGTTACTGGAGTTGTCTCTAACCAAGAGGGTATGTTGTACTTTATATGCACAGTATAAGTTAGTCTCAGGCTAGTTTGATGTTTTAAAATTTTTTGATTTAGATAAAATTGTAATTATTGTTTTCATTTTTGTTTTTTGTTTATTGTTATTTATTAAAAAATATATATAATTACTTTTAGAAATATCTTTAGAAAAGATATTTCTATAGGTATGCCTAGTAAATTCATTAACTGATTAATTTAATTAGTTATTATTCTTAAAATGTTGTGTGAATTAATACGTGTAAATATTGTACCTCAATAAAAAAATACATAAGGTTTAATAAGTGAATAGTAGTTCAATATGGAAAATAAAATTTTTGTGAGAAAAATAAACAAAAAAGTGATGTTATAAAAAAAATTTAAGTTCTATTTGAAGTTTAACTAAAAAAAAGTGATAAAAGTAAAAAGTAAAAAGTTATTTATTAGTTTCTAGTTTGGTTTAAAGCAAACACAGTAAAATTCCATTGTTTCTTTTATAACATTAAAACTTTAAAAGCAAATTTATGTTTTACTTTTTGTACGCTTTTTTTAACTTGGTGTTTGGTATAAAATAACAAGAAATTTTACTGGTTCTGCAAAATATTTGTTCAGAAGTGTTAATTGTACAAGTTAACAAATTAACAAATTACCTGATAAAATTAATCTATTTTGTTAACAAAAATTTGAAGTTACTTATAATTTTAATTTTTTTAATAATCTTTCATCATTAAGAATACTAAAATAAATATTATGTTGATTTTTTAATTATCACTTTCTATTTAAAACAAATTTTTTCTTTTTTTCTTTGTAATTGTTTGAAACATATGTTTATGTAAGTCCATAATCATAAGATATCACATAGGAAAATTCAATAAATTAGTTTAGTTTAATACACAATATTAATGTGTTGTCTACCATTTTCAAATTTTGGGACTGTCTTTCTATTTTGCCAGTATGAAATCAATTCCATATGAAATCAAAAAAAAATGTACTGCTATTATAAATAAAAAAATTTACATGTTACTTACATATGTTTTTGTTATTTTATCAAATCTTTTACTTTAATCTTCTTTTAACCATTGGTTATAATCTAATCATACAAGTATGCTCTGTCATGTCAATCATAGAATTAAGTATGCTGTGTTATCAAGTATAGCCTTGGTTTGATACATTGCAAATTTATTATTTAATATTTATTTATTATTATTTAAGAAGAGCAGTGAATAAAAGACTAGAAAACCTCTGTAAGTTTATATTATAAAAAACCTCTAAAATTTTATTATTATTTTATTAACCTCTAAAATTTTATTAATTATTGGCTTATTGGTGTTATTGGCTATAAAAATAGTTATTCCACAATATGTACATTTAGAAAATAACACTTCTAGCTTAGTTTTTCTCAATAAGTAAAATAAACTGCAGTTTTGCTGTAATTTATTTTATTGCGGTAGTTAAAAAATTTAATGTCTTTAAATAAAAAAGGCTTGATATACATATAGGTTTTCTGTGTTGGGAAGGGGGTTGTAATGTTTATTTAGTGATGATTCAAAATTAGTTTCTTGTGCAGCATTTTTAAATCACCACATTTATAAATCTTACAGTTTTTGTAGTCTCCTGAATCATCACAAAACTGAAGGAAATTACAGCACTACAATTTTTTTGAAAGCGATTTTTCGTCTCATATGTCTGCGCAGGTTTTTTATTTTAGACTACTTGATCGCAGCCATTTGCAAGTTTTATTTTAATTATATAATTATATTTATTTGTTCATTATAAAGGCTTTACTTTATACACAGAATATATACTTCATACACAGAATCTCCATGTTTCAAATCCCACCTGATCCAATTTTTTGTCTTTCTTTTAAATATTGCTGCTCATATATTTGCTTTATAACTATTTATAATTTCTTTTTTGTATATAAAAAAACTTCATGTTCAATGTTCTCCTGGCTAAGCAGGCAAGTTTAGGATACTTAAATGATTGGTTCTTCCAATAAAAAAGTATATCCTCATAATTGTCAATTGTTAAATAGCTTTCTATCTCCGCTTTGTTCTCTGTTATCAAAGAGGTCATTCCTTCCGTATATTGTCAACCGGTGTTGTTGTTAAATAGCTTGGACTTTCAAACTTTTGCAAGACCTTCTTACATATTCAGTTGTTATGTTTTCTTGAGGCTGTGTTAGTATCTGTGTCATTGTGTCTTGTGTGTCATCAATAAGGGATTGTAATGTGTTGAATAAGGGGGTGTTTCTAAGTTCGGCCTTGCACATGTTAAACCCAACTTTCTTCAAAGATATCTTGATCATGTTATAACTTTGCCTAATGCCATGCAATGTGGATCCAACATGTTTACATATGCATATTATAAAACTGTAGCTCCACATTTGGGAAACTGTGATTCATTTTCAACAAGTAATGATCAGTGACCTCTTTCATAGGGTATTGACTACAATTCATATTCTAGAAGAGTTTTGGAATGGCGTGGACTATTGAGACCTTGTTTTCTGAATTTGCAAGCTTGGAGAATTCTTCAAATTTTTTTAATAGTTCAATCATTGTCCTTAATTGTTCAATCTCCTATTCATTTGGTATTTTGCTGACTAGCTTTTGTAAACATCTTTTTCTGCTACAATTTTGATGGCAGTAGCTTATTGATTGATTATAATTAATGGAGCTAATGTTCTATCTGGTCTGTAATATCTGAGCTAATGTTCTATCTGGTTAATCAACTTTAAACTAGTTTCTGAGAATGATTGAAAAAGCTAACCAGTCCTGTTATTATTACTCAAATCTCTCCACAACTTACATTTCAAAGCAGCACTTTGCACTATCAAATTTATTTTATGATCAACACCAGAACACATCATTTATAATGCAATCCTTTCTGGCTCTCTTCATATTTGCTCCACCATCACTGTGTGCACATTTAGTCTCAAGTTTAGGTCTTTAGTGAAGTCATCCAATCTTTTTGTAATTCTGATGAATGTTTGCCAGTAAAGTGTTGTAAGGTGACCAAACAATGCTTTGTTTGAAAATCCAAATCATTGTAGTGTGCAGTCATAGCAATGTATGTCAGTCCACAGATTAGACGTGAATGATATCAGAGTCAAGCATGCATTGATATTGAAAGTTGTAGCTTTTGATTTTGCTTTTGCCCTGGCCTCCCTTACTACTAGTGCTTCAAAGCTGGTCTTGTGGCTTGTTATAAGATGGCCTCTCTCTCTCTCTCTCTCTCTCTCTCTCTCTCTCTATATATATATATATATATATATATATATATATATATATATATATATATATATATATATATATATATATAGGCTTGGTCGGGAAGCGGGATTGATCGCTCTCGAATACTGGCCACGGAAATTATATTTAGTTGCGTAAAACTGGCCAGGTTTTTTAGTCGTTTTGAGAACATTTAAGTTTATGTACGAAACAAAAGTTTTTGTTTTACGGACATACATGGAAACATAAAAAACTTGAATGTTCTCAAAACATCTTTTTGCGAAAGAATAAAAAGAATTTTTGCGAACACTAAAAACCCACCAAATTAACAAACAAACAAATTCCATTGGTTCAAAAAATACGCTGATTAAGTGAAATAAAGTTCTAGAGTATTCTGTTAAAATGTTTTAGAAATTGTATTATTCACGATTTGTTACGTTTTGAGATTTTTAGCATTGTTTTAAGAATATATATTATTTGTTTAAGTAAATATATGTTTTAAATATATATTAATTAAATAGTTAAAATTTTAAAAGTTTATTATAAATCATAGATTTTATTAGTATATTCTTATTTTTTATTTTAAAAGAGATTGTATTCTTTATGTAAATGTAATTTTGTGTATTTGTTTTTTATCGTAATGTATCTTTTAAAGCAATTTTTATGATTTAAACAAAAATAATTGCGTTTTCGATGAAGTTATAATCGTTATAGTTAATAAAACTAATTATGTAACAAACATATAAGAAGTTTCTGGTTACTAAACACAAACAACGCATACAAAGTAACTCGCGGATGAACAAGCATCGCGCCCGAGGTCACGACAGAACACAAATATATATAGCAAATAATTAGATATAAAGAAAAATTTCTAGATATTGGTTTACTAACTCTAATTATTTTCGCTTAAGTTGCCATTCTTAAAACTCGTTATACTTTTTTCTGCTTTAAATACTAATTAAAATTTAAAAGCCCACTCACTAAACATCATCAGCGATATTGTAAAGCAGTTTCGCTTCCTGGTCATTAAGTATTTTTAACCTTTTTAGTTGGTTTCTATCTTGATAATTTAATTCTTATAGTAATTCAATGATTTAATTATTTCATTTGTTTATCTTACTAAGAAGAATCGCTTCAAATATGTTAAACTTTTCAAACTACGCGAAACATAAAATAGATATTAAAAAAATTAACTTTTTTGTTTATAAAATAAATTAAGCTTAAGTAAAACTAAAACTTGCAAACTTAGTTAAATAAAGAATATTTGTTTCTTTTTTAAACAATCATTTAAGTTGACGGTTGTATGTTTCTATTAAAAGTTGATGTTTCTATAAAAAACATCGCTTAATTTTATAAAAAAAATTATAAAAGAGCGATGTTTCGAAAATATTTGTTCTAAATGTAATTTATTTAGCTTTACTTTTTTTCGCTTTTAAAAATATTTTATTTGCCTGTTTTTTTTTTTTTTTTGTAATTGTCTCTCATCGGTCCAATAATCTTCGTCGCTTTTTTTTTTTTGCTTTTTAAAATGTTATCAAAACGACTAAAAAATCTGGCCAGCTTTTCGCAATGTTCAGCAGTTTTGCGTTACGCAAAAACTTTAATCTTTTAGAATATTTAAATTATCATTTGATATCGTTTATGTGACGTTTATTCAGAGGAAAATAAAGTCATAAGTAAAAGCATTTAACCGCATTTGTTAACTAATAGATTTTTTGTTAAAGAAAAATTTTTTCAATTATTTTTATTGTTGTTGTTGTTAAAAATTAGTTTAAAAA